AACTTCGATTCTATCTAGTTAATTTGTATATAATTATTCTGCCTTTATTTAGTTACAATATTTTTTTATAATATGTATGGCACATTGATGTTATATGTTATAGTCTTAAAGTATATATTTATACTTTTATATATTTATTTAAAAAATATATATATTTATACATATATATTAATGAGTATGTTTTTATCTTATCTATGTACTTATATACCATTCTATATTTCTATTTTAAGGCTTTATTAAAAATAATGTTATTAATGTCTCCAAACCACACACGTTTTTATTGTTTTCTTGCAATCCTGTCCATCCAAAAGCTGTCTGGAAGAGATCGCTTTTAGCGATAAGACCACCCATTGTACCACATTTCTTTTTCTCATTTTTTGTTAATATTTAATTTCGTTTTTTGGCGTACAATAAAGTTTTATCTATATATCTATCACTGGTTGGGCTAAAATCAGTTATTATTTTACTCTGTCAAGAAATCATAGTAGCAGGCCGGAGTTAGGAAATTTGCGGTGTTTCACACCCGTACTCGGAAAGCAAAAATGCCATCGGTCCTGCGCCTGATATCACACCGACCGTGTCGGTTTGCTGTCCTATCACACTATGAGAGTTAGGGAACAGTGACTGACTTGTGCACTATAATTTTGTCAAATGTTAAATGACTAGTCTCCGTTGAGACTGACCGATTCAGTTCGGAGGATGTTATTATTATCTGACAAAGGTTAGTTGAGACTACACAGGCAACAGTGTTGTAAATCTGGGATAATGATAGAGTTATCTATAGCTGGTTATAGTCTCTAAGTTTTTAGTAAGTAATCTAGATATGTATTATTGTTAAACTTATTATGTTCTTGGTGAATTGAAATCAGAAATCAGAACAGAAATAAGTTCCATAGTTGGGTACAGATCTCTTCTTATTTCTAAAACGTTTATAGAAATATTATATATTCTGGGCATACAGGTTTCTTGACGAGTGTTCCTTCACCACCGTGCTCGTAGTACGTTAGTACTTATTACAATTTATATTTTAATGGTGCCTGCGGCAATCGAACCCAAGTTGCTCGCATTCTGTAAAATTTACGGCGAGCACTCAACCCCTAAGGAACGAAGGTTCATTGAACAAACAAACATAAACAGGAACAGAAACATATTGTAAAATAAAATATATATAAAAACAAAAGAAAATGTCGTTTGTCCTTTCATTTTTGTTTTTTCCTTTGACTCCTGTCTTGAACCACTTTTAACACAAGAAAGCACACTTAGTGTGGTGTTTGACGGAATTTTTTACTTATTGTAGCTGTGCTGATAAAGTTCTAGATGGTAATTTGCACCGTATTAGCGTAACAAAAGCCTAATCGCCTTAACCTTGAAGACGTCCAAATCGCAGTCAGACGGAAAAACAGACGCCGGCAAATTATTCCACTCCTTTGCTGTTCAAATTACGAAAAATTGACTGTCCACATAGGCTGACCGTTAAGTGCAGCTGTTTTGGCTCGCCGTTCACTTAGCGGTCAGTTACCGCGGAGTCTACTTCACCTGAGGATGCTATGTGTAGAGGCGAAACACCTCTCCTATTATCGACGATGGTGTCTTTCCTAGTGGTGCTGGGATTAGTGGTGACAGGGATAGTGTAGGCAATTGAGGGAGGGCGGGAGGTGCTCTTCAAACTAAGTTAGAGACATTATTTTATTTTATAGAGCGGATGAGAGGCAAATTAATTTTTACTAACTTTAATATAATGGATTTCCGCAAAGTATAACGCCTGATTCTATTAATAATCGAATAACGAAAGATGCTCTTTTAGGTAATGTTAACAGCTATGTATTGGCAGTGTAAGATATCCAATGGGTGTCATAAGAGGCGACAAAAGGCAGCAGCATCTTCCTGATAAAATCTCATAATAATAAAAAACTGCGGTTGCCAACCCGCTTGCCAAGCGAGTCAACTACGGCATATGTCCCCCTATGTTCAGCTTTTGATAGGCTATAATGAAAAAGGTATGGTTAATAGCATCACTAAAATAACAAAAAATAACTGGGGCTGACGGGTAATAGAGTATGTTTATAGAAATAATGAGTAAAACAACTTATATCATAAATAACGTGTGTTCGTTTATCCGGTCGACGTTGATACAGCCTTGGTTTGCTTATTGCCGTAACCCGACTGGAAGTAAAAACAATAAATTACGGCAATTTGTTACGCTTTTAATGTGCGATTGCAGTATATGATTAGAAAGCTCCTTACTTTTTTTCTTTGGTAATGAGCTCGTATTGTTGTAATTTTGCCAATGTCAAGTATGTTATGGAATTATTCTTTATAACATTTTAAAGATTTCTTAACAATATGTTTATGCGTGGCATTGTGAAGTTTTCGGGAGATTTTGACGGCAGCTTGTTGTGTTAAATCAGCACTTTTGCAATAAACAATTTCATCGGTGCCGGTGGAGATTGAACCCGGGCTGCTCGCGTACTGTGAAATTTACGGCGAGCGCTTTGCACCTGAACTATCATTAGCTGCTACAGTTGATTAGAAAAATAAGGAATCATTTTAAAAACTTTATAAATCGATTTTAAAGGACAATTTCTCAATAAGTTGGAACGGTGTGGGTTGCGGGTTTGATCCCACATGGAAGCGTAACAAAAATAGTTTATTACCGTTTTAGAATCTGCATGAAGTAGGCATGTTTTTTAAGCTATTGACCACCCTGGTCACCATATGCTTTTATACCACAGTAAACAATTTTTAATTTTTTTGTAAACTTGTTTCAAAACATTTGCAGCTAGATATATTTTGTAATGCGCGATGGCAACGCCAAATATTCATGGTTATTTCCAGAGAAAATCAATTGGTTTTTAATAAATTTGTAGCCGTAGTACTCAATAATGTGAACGAATACGTCAAATTTCATACTATAAAAAAAGTATTCCCTCACTAGTACCTCCATTACTTACCGGCCATTTCGTATACCTACAATAAATAATTCTAACAGATCTTCATGTTTTTCCATTATATAATGCCTCTACGATATAGAAAAAAATCCTAGTCGGCATAACGTTTAATATAGAAAAGAATAGTTGATTTATTAGAGAGAAAAAGATTTGGTTTCGGGAGTATTTAGGCATTAAATCTTTGTCATCTAGGCGCTTTTTACTTTTATTAATATACATTGTGTTTATGAGGTATTTCAGATTATTTGTAAAGGATTTTTTTTATATTATAAGGTCAACCATCGAGAACTCTGTCACCTGAGAATTAGCGGGTGCTATGGCCCATAGACATCTTCATCTATGCTCGATTAGGACTCAAATAGCAAGCGTATTGCTACCAAATTTAGTCGAGGACTAAGATCGAATGCCTTGTTACCAGTAGAAAGGTTCAGTGCCAGTAAAGAGTTTCTCATCAATCGACATGAGAATTACATCATATATACACTGCTGTAAAGGGCTGGTATTCCGAAGAGGTATGATACCTCCCCGGTCGAGCTGATCCATTCATGATACAACCTGAATACAGCTGCAGCGTAGCCTTACAATGGGAAAAAATCTTGTAACACTACGGCAACGGGCAACAGCTGCTATCCTTATGCTGTGTGCTACTTTGTGGGTAAGTATTTATAGGAACACACAAACATGTGGATTGTCTCGTTGGTCTAGTTGTAAGCGCGACTGCTGATTATGGGGTTCTGGTTTCAAATACTGGGTCAAGTCGAAAGTCAGTTATTTGGTTTTTCTGTCAATATAATCTAAGTGGCAGCACGAAGTCAGGAATTTGACGGTGTTTCAACCCTCGGAAAGCGAGTAAAACTATGTCCAGTACTAAAATTAGGAAATAATTACTGTTTAACGGTAAAATATCCATAATGCTGATGTGGCGGCGCTGTCGTCACACCACTAGCGAAAACACATCAAAGCCTAAATCGCGCTAACAAAGTTCCGAAATTAAAACAGTATATATATAATAGCTCCGAACTACCACTCGGAGCGTTGGCCGCTCCCCGAGCAGAACACCTTGCCCGGCGGGAGTTCTCCCCTTTTCCTTCCACCTGCCACGCCAATAACCTTCGGAAACTACAACTTCAAACCTTCGTCATCGTCCTCAAGTACCCCATTCATTCGCTACCGAGCAGATATTGTCTGCAGTCTTCACATTCTGTAAGCCATCTAGCTTTACAAAGGTTCATCGCAGCACTGGAATAATAATGCTTCCTGTTCCTTCAAACTACTCTCTACGCTACAGTGTTCAGCACGGCTCTAAGCCTTACTGCTCGCACTGCTTCACGTCACTCTCGCAGATTACATGCCTTCTTCTCGACTCACCGCAGACTACAAGGCAATCCATGGCACTTGCTCCCGCTCATCATTCTCACTGGCATCACTTGCAAATGGGTAGTACGGCATGCATTACACACCGGCATATCATTCGCACCGGCGTCACTGGCCCTTACGCACACAGCATTCAATCCCCACCGGCATTAAGGACGCACCAGCAATCGGACTGCACTATCGACCTCGGGTCGGAGCAGGGGGGTGATGTGGCGGCGCTGTCGTCGCGCCACTAGCGAAAACAAATCGAAGCCTAAATCGCGCTAAAAAAGTTCCGAAATTAAAACAGTATATATAGAATAGCTCCGAACTACCACTCGGAGCGTTGGCCGCTCCCCGGGCAGAACACCTTGCCCGGCGGGAGATCTCCCCTTTTCCTTCCACCCGCCACACTGATTTTATATTTTTTACTTGCAGACTAACAAATTAATGTTATTGTTAAAAATTAATATTTGTTATCAAAATGAAATAATAATAATAATAAAATAAATAATAATAGTCATTTATTTCAGGCTTTTTACACCCATTACAAATATCAATAAATGTTAAATGTTAAAAACAAAATGAAAATATAATTATGAGGATACAATAAATAAGATAAATAAAAGACAATTCAACTGTAATCATAGGTTAATACTAAAAATACTAAAATTGCCCCCAAAAGGGAGTTCGTTCTATCTATTTACAGTTATTGTCGCGATGCACGGCACGCCAATATTGTAGTATGGGATTCTCTGGGCACTGATAGCACACCCTGAGTATCTCATTCTTGGAATCACGGATGCGGGACCAAAAAGCTGCAACCCGAGATCTAATAACGGCGAAGTAATCGGGCACCCTGGCGTTGGCAAATATGCTCGACGCACTGCAGTATTTAGGCAGTTTCATAAGAATGCGGAATGCATTATTATACTGCACTCTAATGCTGCTACGTTCATTTTTTGTACTGTCCAACCAAAGCTGACAAGTATAGAAGCATTGACAATATGCTCTAAACAGGGTCAGCCTTGCCTTGGGACTGCACCGCGCGAACCGGCGTGCGAGCATATTACACCGCACAGCCAGAGCCCTCCTTTCACGTTCTATATCGTGGTTATCACGCAAATCCTCAGTCAGGATATGCCCCAGGTATCTGAATAGACTAACTCTTGCAACAGCTTCACCGTCCAGAAATGCTAACGGAATCCTCTCCGGGCCTGTGCCCGAGTGAAACACCATCATTTGCGTTTTATTAACATTATACTTCAGGCCATGATCCCCCGCATAATGCTCGCATATGGCTAATAACTTTCTAAGTCCCCTGATTGAGGGACTCAGTAGCACTATGTCGTCAGTGTAGCTGAGATTATTCAGACAAATTGTACCCATGTGACAACCAATTTTTGTACTTCTAAGTTCCTCAATCAGGTCGTTTACGTATAAGCTAAATAGATCCGGAGAGGTCAGCCCACCTTGACGTACGCCACACTCTAATGTATAATCGTTAGAGATGGCGTCGCCCCATTACATAAAGTTTGTCTGGTTCCCGTACCAGTATCTCAACAGATCCATAGTCTTTCTGGGTACATTTGATGCTATTAGTTTATGCCATAGTCGCTAACAGTTAACTAGATCAAAGGCACGACTAAAAAGCAAGCATACACAGGTGTACCTCTATTTATATAGTAGTTAACTGTTGATTTAAGACTGAAGATTGCAGAGTCCGTTGAAAGTCCGGAACGAAAATCAAACTGTGTGCCGTCAATCCTAATGTTGTTGCTTATACTCTATATTATCCAATAACTGACAATAATTAAACGTAACAGTAGGTAAGCTTTGTAGTTCTATTGTACAACTCTTGGGGAGCGCCAAAATCTGTAGTGGAAATTGAAATTTGGAAAGTGCCAATATCAATTATAGCCGAAATGTAGGTTCAACAGGCTACTGTAGGCAACAGAACCGCAAATATTACGAACCGGCATAAAATGATAAACTGAAAACTACATATAAAAATCCAAATTTTATAAGCAATTGTTGTGTAATAGCTATGTAATTGGATTCTCGGAAACGGCCCAATATTATATTTAGATAATGTTTTGCTTTCCAAGTTTATCCCGGAGATAATTACATTTTTTCTAACCCCGAGCAAAACTCGGTCGTTTGGTGATCATCATCATTACAAGCCCGTCAAAAGACAACTGTTGAACTTAGGCCTCCCCGAGGAAACCGCACAAAGCGCGGTTCTGACCTACCTGCCTCCATCAACTTCTTTTTTATAGGATAGGGTGACAAACGAGCACACAGTCCACCTGATGGTAAGTGTTTGCTGTGACCTATAGACATCTACATCTATCCTCGCCTGCGAATCAAAATGCAGATGCGTTATCACCCGTGAGGACTAAGATGGAATGCCTCTTTTCCAGTAAATAGGGTCTCCGGTTCTCTACACTCACCATACGAAACACAGCAGCATTAAGCTGCTATTTTACGCTGGTATTCTGTGAGAGCGTGGTCCTTCCCCGGTCGAGCCGACCCATTCGTGCTACAACTATACCCGAAATATAGCTGCAGCATGGCCCTACCACATACTCACTTCCTGAATCGCTTACAAGGTCGTCACTCCATATAATGGGGGGCCACCCTAAACTTCGCTTACTCGTACAAAGGTGCCATTTAACAGTGGTAGAGCCAAGCGGTAGCTTTGGCTGTCGCACAGATGGGCCAGCTCGAACCGGGGTGGTACCACGACCTTACAGAATACCAGCGTGAAGTAGAGGTTTACCTCTGCGTTGCGCTTGGTGAGTGCAGGTGGCCGGAGGCCCAATTCCCCCCCCCCCCCCCCCATCAACATGGTAGTGGAATTAAATAAGAGACTACCCCAGGAGGTTACCAGCACCCCTGGAGAATCCCTCGCTGAGCATCCACGAACAAACTACTTCACTCCTGAGCGTGGGTGCTCAGGCTGCCCCGCGTATTCTGGGGGGGACAAAATTCCGCTCGCGACTAATGCTGCTAGGGGCAAGCGGAGCAATACAACCAAGGCGACCCCTGTCACGCTATCCGTGAATTATTGCAACATCAGGGGACTTCATTCCAACCTTAACGCTGTCCATTAACATCTAGAGACGGCGAAGCCGGCCTTGCTCTTTTTAACTGAGACTCAGGTGTCCTCTCCGGCTGATACTTTATATCTCTTCTACCCGGGATACAAATTGGAACACTCCTTTGTGCCCAGGGCTGGAGTTTGTGTATACGTCAGAGAGGACATCTGTTTTCGACGCCTCGGCAGCCTTGAAGCCTTTACGGAACTGTCCATCCTATGGCTGCGCGTAGACAGCGACGACCATCCCCGCGTCTAGGGGTGCCTCTATAGGTTCCATAGCGGTAATGCCGACACAGACCGACTCATCGACCACGTCCAAATGGCTGCAGACTCCGTGCTACAACAGGTCCCATCCGCAGAGATCGTGATACTCGGTGATTTCAACGCCCACCACGCTGAATGGCTTGGTTCTCGTTTAACCGATCATGCGGGTAGATCTGTCTACGACTTTGCTTTGGCATATGGTCTAACACAACTGGTTACTTTGCCTACGCGGATCCCAGATGTGGAAGACTCTGTACCTTCCCTGTTGGACCTTCTGCTGACCTCTCATCAGGACGGATATCAGGTCTCCGTCGATGCCCCTCTGGGCTCTTCGGACCATTGTCTTATCCGGAGCACGGTGCCACTCACGCTCCAATCGCAGTTGCGATCTGCAGCTTGCCGCCGTGTTTGGCACTATAGGTCAGCTGATTGGGACGGGATGCGGTCTTTTTGCATCCTATCCTTTTGCTTCTTTTGGGTTTGCTTCTCGCCGGAAGATCCCAGCGTTGTTGCCGATTGTGTTGCTGATGTGGTACTTCAGGGTATGGAACTTTTTATTCCATCCTCTGTGGTGCCCATCGGAGGCAGATCCCAGCCATGGTTTGGTCGCTCCTGTAAAATAGCATCACGCTATAAGCAGGAGTGCTACCGGGCCTGGGCTGACGCATCAACGTCTCGGGATTTAAACACCAGCGCACTTAAAAAGAAGTATAATTCCGCCTCCAGGTCCTTCAAAAGCGTCATTGCCAAGGCAAGGTCTGAGCACATCGGCAGAATTGGCGAGAAGCTAGTTCGCCTTCCTTCGGGAACTCGTGCATTCTGGTCTCTCGCCAAGGCTGTCCAAGGGAACTTCTGTCAGCCATCCCTTCCATCTCTGCACAGAGAGGACGACTCACTTGCCCATGCCGCAAAAGAGAAAGCCGATCTGTTGTGCTCTCTTTTTGCGTCTAACTCGACTCTAGATTACGGGGGGAACACACTGCCGATCATCCCGCGATGTGAGTGCTCCATGCCGGATGTGCGATTTACACAGCGCTCGGTTCGCAAAGCACTATTCGCCCTGGACGTCAGCAAGTCGAGTGGGCCCGATGGAGTCCCTCCCATTGTGCTGAAGACGTGTGCTCCGGAGTTGGCACCAGTTTTAACGCGTCTTTTCCAGTACTCCTACTCCCAAGGCGTAGTCCTGAATTCATGGAAGACAGCTTTGGTCCACCCGATCCCTAAAAAAGGCGACCACTCAGACCCGTCCAAGTACAGGCCTATCGCCATCACCTCCTTGTTCTCCAAAATAATGGAGTCCATTATAAACTGCCAGCTAATGAGGTACCTTGAGGATCACCAGCTGATCAGTGACCGTCAGTACGGTTTTCGTCGGGGTCGATCAGCAGGTGATCTTTTAGTTTACTTAACTCATAGATGGGCGGAGGTAGTAGAGTACAAGGGGGAGGGCTTCCCGAGAAATTGTGCAAATGGATCACCAGTTTCCTTGCTGATCGGAGCATCAAGGTCGTAGTGGACGGTGCATGCTCTGATTTCAAGCCTATCAACGCTGGTGTTTTACAAGGCTGCGTGCTATCACCAACGCTGTTTCTCCTGCATATCAATGATATGTTGCTAACTGGTAGCATTCATTGCTATGCAGACGATAGCACTGGGGATGCCTTATATACCGGCCGTGCCAATATTTCTCGGGAAAACGTCGCCGAGTACCGGGACAAACTTGTGTCTGAAGTCGAGTCTTTGCTTAACAAAGTCTCGGATTGGGGCTGACTAAATCTCTCAGTTCAATCCCCAGAAGACACAAGTTTGCGCGTTTACCGCTAAAAAGAACCCCTTTGTCGTATCTTCTCAGTTTCAAGGCACTCCCCTTGCTGCCTCAGCCAGTATCGGAATCCTTGCCGTCGACATATCGAATAGCGTGCAGTTTCGTGGTCACTTGGAAGGGAAGGCCAAATTGGCCTCTAAAAAGCTTGGCGTGCTCAGCAGAGCGAGACAGTATTTCATGCCGGCACATCGCTTCCAACTTTACAAAGCGCAAGTTTGGCCCCACATGGAATACTGTTCTCATCTCTGGGCCGAGGCACCCCAGTGCCAGCTCCTTCCACTTGACCGCATCCAGCGCAGAGCGATTCGAATCGTCGACGACCGAGTTCTTTCCGATCGGCTCGATACACTGGCACTGCGTAGAGATGTTGCATCTCTTTGCGTATTTTATCGCATCTATCACGGGGAGTGCTCTGAGGAATTGTTCGGACTAATTCCAGCCGCTCAATTTCACTATCGTACATCGCGACAAAACTCGCGTTACCATACCATCTGGATGATTGGCGGTCCACCACTGTGCGGTTTAGAAGAAGTTTTCTCCCTTGCACAACTTCTTTGTGGAATCAATTACCACCAGCGCATTTTCCGAACCGATACGACTTAGGAACCTTCAAGAAAAGGGCTTACACCTTTCTAAAAGGCCGGCAACGCATTTGCAATTCTCCTGGTGTTACGGTTGTTCATGGGCGGCGGTAGTCACTTACCATCAGGTGAGCCGCATGCTCGTTTGTCCCCTATTCTATAAAAAAAAAGGCCATTCGAGAACCTTTCTTTCCCATGGGTTGTCGGTTCATCGAGCTATATGACCGATCTTTTGCCACTTTAGCTTACTAATCCATCGATATTTGTCGGTTACTGGAGTTCTACTGCGGATATCCTAATTTCGAAGTCTATCACGCATGGAAACTCCGAGCATGGGCTATGCTTTATTTATATATTTATATATTTTATGTCTCGCTTTTCTATTTAAATAACATGAAATATAAAAAAAAATCGATTTACTTATTCTAATCAGTTCTTATTGCAATACAATTCAATATACAATGGACGTTTAAGATGCCCATTGAATATAACTAAAAGATTCGTTTATCGTACCATCAAACGATACAATGAAGACTCTAGTGTAGATGACAGGTCAAGAAGTGGTCGCCCTCGGTTTGTTAGGACTCCAGCAGTGATAAAAGCTGTGAAGGCGCGAATTCAAAGAAATCCCAAACGTAAGCAGAAACTGTTGGCT